AAATAGATATAAAGAAAAATTTTCAAGTATAACAATTAGGAATGTTAATTCAATAAAAAGCCTGATCGATTTAAAAATCCATGTATGCCATTCCTCAATCGATAAAATAAATATCTGTTCTGCAATTTCTCAATCTAGTTCCGCAGCGAGCCTAGTAGGTTTTGAACTACTTTCTCAGCAATGACAGTTACATCTCGTCTACCAATAATTAATTAACCATGCACATCGGCCCACACTGCTAAACTGATTGGTAGTCCACTTGGCCATAAGCAGGGACAGAAAAACAGGGTCATGCCCACTTCATGATTAGCATTTGCTTTAGATCCTAGTATTTAGACATAAGTCGTCATAAAAACTACTAATATTATAAAGCTGAAGAGTTTGTTTGTTTGAACGCGCTAATCTCAGGAACTACTGGTTCGAATTGAATAATTCTTTTTGTGTTGAATAGACCATTTATCGAGAAAAGCTTTAGGCTATATAACATCACGCTGCAACTATTGGAAGCGAAGAAATAATGGAAAACGCGGAGGAAGTCGCTGGCGGCCACTAGTAATAGATACGGCTAATTTGTATACATAAGCGTTTAATTTTTTTTATTAATATCAACTTTTGATAGCTCCAAAGAAAATGTCTATTATATTCGCTATATCGCACCTTATAAATTCACACTTTAATTTGTTTCGGTATTATTTAGACTTATCCCGGATGATCATAATAACAAATAAATAAAAATTGACAATCAAAATTAATCAATTGTAATAATTGTAGCTCTTTTAATTTTAATGGCGAATATAATTAAATACTGTTAATGTTAATTTCAAATAACGTTATATTAAATTGCAGAGCTTGCATTACAATGCAGTAATTCGTATACACACTCGGGTTCCGGAGTTCTTGCAGTAACGAAACAACGGTCTTAATGGCAAAACGTGACATTCGCTTGGCAAGCTTTTTATCATACAAGTCACTTTTGTATCACATGTATAGAATCTTTTCATATAGAAACTTTACAGAAATTTAATCTTTATCGGTATTGTATTAAGAGACAGTCTCAATAGACAGTACGACGCCACGAAATAAACCAAGGATGTTAGCTCAAGGATGGTCCGTACCCGTAACCGAAACTATTGGATATATAATAAAAATACTCTGTATACGTAAATGAATCAGATGTAAAAGTTTCTCACAATCGTAGAATTTGAATTTCTTCCTTCACAGTGTTCATTCTTAGATATTTGTGGATTTTTGTGTTGGTTATGAACCACGGCACATTACTTAGAAATCAAAGTACGGCATTTTGTGCTCTTTGTAGTAAAGAAATGCTGGAATTGCTAGCGCTTCCCTATAACTGGATACCATAAGTCCAAACAGGCTTGAGAAACTTTCTGTAGATTAATAGCTTATTGTCAATAGATAACTTGCTATTTCTTCCTAAGATCCTGGATAAGTTAAAAAAGTAAAAGTAATAAACTTGAAATAAAAAGTATTAATCTGTATTTTACATCAAGAATTGCTTAAAAATCTTAATATCCATAACTTAAATTATTACCATAACTAATAATTTCATACTGTAACCGTATCCGAAACCGCTATAATTCTAGTCGTATAATGTATCCAAATCTGAAATTTCAAATAACATCCCACCCTGAATTAAACGCAACGGCCAACTTAAATGGGAAAACTTTGCTTTTACGTTGTAAACAAAATTTCTACTAGGACATATCGCGTGACCAAACACAGCAGGGCATCGTATCGGTGATCTGCTATGGCGATATTTGCAATTGCGAACCTCAAGAATTTGTTATGTTGAACGGATAGCATCACATCGACATTTCGCCTAAGTTCAAATAGGTTCAGATATTTATCTACTAAGTTGAAAGTTCAGCCTATAGTTTAGCTATTTTTTAGATTTCGTTACCGTTACTGTGAAGTGAAATTTGTCAATAGAAATCATAAAAAGAATTATATTAAGAATTGAAGTAAATATAGATTCGTAAATATAAGATGAGAAAATAGTAAGAAAAAAGTCTACGTTGCTTGCCAATAGATTCAAACCGAGTTAATATGAAATTATCACTGCGTTTGAATATTAATATGATAATAAAGAAACAGAAACTTATTAGCTTTTATTACAACTTGATGAGGTCGCACGAAATGTGTACTAAGAACTCTTTCTTTAAACAGTCAAAATTTTAAGATTATATTTGAACTTTTAATATTAACAATATAGTTAACATTGATAGGTATTGCGATGCCTGTTCGACGGGTCTATGGGTATTCAAAGCTATTAATCGAACACCTTATCAAACGACGCCAGATATTACAACCATGTTCGATGCAAATTCGCGTGCATCAATCAAATATCTTATACTGCCAATGTCACATGCAACTGATTGCCCAAGGACATCCGCAAACGATTCGCCGACGACACGCCACCGATACATCGATGCTATTTACGACCCATAAACTCCTAACCGCCTGGATGTCATACTGAATGATCAGATTAGAAATAAAATGCGAACCAATGTCGATGTCCGAGTCAAATAAAAATATAGTTTATAGTCGCGTAAGCAAATTACCTAAGCGTGGCTAATTTACAATGACCGTGCAAAATTTTTATAATTTCTCTATAAAGTTTTAAATGATGATGTAATATTATCTGAAGACATCTAAAGACTTACGAGACGGACTTTTGATTTGACTAAATTTTTAAGGCAAAGGGTTTAGCCGGATACGTATGACGAGTCGGCCCCCAAATGGGAATCGATATTGAAACTTATGTTTTAATATAGACTTGATGTTCAAACACGATTTATGTACTTTTCGCGACCGACTTCCGCTTTGACCTTGAGATAGAGAGCAAAATATCCGTATGCTTGACTATTACTGAATGTGATATATCTCTGAAGCTAATTAAGATAAAGAAGTGAAACTAACGCGAGGTGTTAGGTTACATTACAGAGTATATCACATATATATTTTTTTATAATTTTTAGAATAAATAATTACATTAAAAAAATAAAAAAAAAATAAAAAAACATGTTTTTTTTCTGAGTTCTCTGTGACTTACAATCACGAAATTAATATATGTTATGCTCCTTTGTGTGCTCTATTACCCATAAAAATTGCGTGAAAAAAAAGTCGGTGCAACACAACGAAAAAAAATTATATGTGATTTCTGTCTTATGGTATACCCCTGTATTATAAGGTTTTCACATTACATCATTGTTTTTTTTTTCGAAATTTCACATCAGCTTGTTTTAAAACATAAGTCATAAGAGATGGGATAATAGTTAAAAAAGAAATGAAAAAAAAACAGCCAGTGTTCAATACTTATTATTATTACTTTTTCGTGTCTATCAAAATACAAGAAACAAAATATTAATCATCGTCACTGTTGTAATTAATTACAATCGGAACACTTTGAGTCGCAAATAACTTAGTTAGAACCTCAGCAGGACGTACGATTTTGGACAAATATCATGCATATGATAGATAATAAATAATAGCTGCTACATGAGAACAGCATCCCACTGTACGTTTGCCATTGGGGCAATCACAGCAATAACGAAGAATACTATTGTAGTCACTACCTTCGGAAATATAGTGAATGTAAATTCGATAGACTTTTCTATTTATATGTCTTGATTTTACTTCTGCTTTGATGATATTAGGTGCTGATTTCACATATTGTACTGAGATATTATTTTGATCGTCCATTATTTCGGCCAAGTTAAATGCTGCACATTTAGAAGTAGAAGCTTTTTTGTTAATATATGGGATAAGTCGACACTTCTTACAAAAAATATCATTAACTATTACGATTTTATTCAAACAGTCACTAAACACTTTAGCTTCTTCTTCATTCTTTATAATTTTTTTATAACCAGGAATCTTACACAGGTACTTGTTACAATTTTTACACTTTCTCGACATTATTACTTAATAATGATTTGGTTCGATAGTCAATAATTTCAAAATGCTGATACAAAATACCTATGACAGAATTTGAGTCCCAAACTGCCTTCTTGTGTAATACAAATGACTGCTACTTTAGTTAAACAAACGATGCAGTAAACAGTTCGAACTTGTTATCGAGCTGTTGAAATTTCGAAAAAAAAACAATGATGTAATGTGAAAACCTTATAATACAGGGGTATACCATAAGACAGAAATCACATATAATTTTTTTTCGTTGTGTTGCACCAACTTTTCACGCAATTTTTATGGGTAATAGAGCACACAAAGGAGCATAACATATATTAATTTCGTGATAGTAAGTCACAGAGAACTCAGAAAAAAAACATGTTTTTTTTTTTTATTTTTTTAATGTAATTTTTTATTCTAAAAATTATAAAAAAATATATGTGATATACTCTGTAATTTAACCTAACACCTCGCGTTAGTTTCACTTCTTTATCTTAATTAGCTTCAGAGATATATCACATTCAGTAATAGTCAAGCATACGGATATTTTGCTCTCTATCTCAAGGTCAAAGCGGAAGTCGGTCGCGAAAAGTACATAAATCGTGTTTGAACATCAAGTCTATATTAAAACATAAGTTTCAATATCGATTCCCATTTGGGGGCCGACTCGTCATACGTATCCGGCTAAACCCTTTAGCTTGACAATGCAAGACTTTTTTTTTTAATTTACACAGCAAACTACCTATGTAAATTTAAAAAAATGCGTAGTTAGAATTCTACGTAAAATTTCATTTTCAAAGAAGCCTGAACACATATAAAAGCTATCAATTAAGAAACTTTATTATTTATTTATTTTATCATTATTTATCAAAAGCTATAGCACGGTTATAAAAAGAACACAGAAAATTTCGTACGTTGACCTTTTTGTCTATCGATAGATACCGTAGGCACTTTAAATTTACTTGACTACGACAAAATTGTTCGGTTATTGTATTTGCAAGCTCTTTCTAGAAAAATGAAATCTCTTTTACGTAAGAATCTAATAAATTAACTGGTCTACTCTTCAACAGGCACCAAGAAGATGGAATACAAGACGAGGCAGTGGCACGAGAAGTGTTTCTGCTGCGTTGTGTGCAAGAACCCCATCGGCACCAAGAGCTTCATCCCGCGTGAACAGGAAATCTACTGTGCCGGCTGCTACGAGGACAAGTTCGCTACACGCTGCGTTAAATGTAACAAGGTATGATTCTATTAATATGTTTTTATGACAGAACAACTCGTTGATCAAAATTTTGTAAACAAAATTAAACTAGCGGCATAATGGCGTAAAAAAATTCAACGAAACAACGGATTTTCAGTCGGCATTTTAAATGTCAATGGTTCAACTGCAACTTACATTGGTAACCGTGGTTTATTGACACTTTCAACCGAAGGGTTTTTTACCATTTGACTACGACATATACTCAGGTACTATCTATCTATATATAAGAGAGCCAACTGACTAACGATCTGCACAGCTCAAACTACTCGATCTTAGAATATAAATTTGACCTTCTATCCTATACTTAATTGTTCATTGGCCGCTATCGTTCACTTTTAAGGTGTTTTAAGAAAATAAAAAATACGGGTTCAAAGTCCACCATTTTTTAAAAGTGAGAATCCAAAAAGTTAGTCAATAAATAAAGTAAAAGTTCTCTCTGTATATGTATTGTAGATCATCACGCAAGGTGGCGTGACGTACAAGAACGAGCCGTGGCACCGCGAGTGTTTCACGTGCACCAACTGCAACACGTCGCTGGCCGGGCAGCGGTTCACGTCGCGCGACGAGAAGCCGTACTGCGCGGAGTGCTTCGGGGAACTGTTCGCCAAGAGGTGCACCTCGTGCTCCAAGCCCATCACTGGTGAGCACTCGACATTTGGTCAATGATTTCTACTTTCTAGGATTTATTCAACATTTGACTACGAAACTCTTTTATGATTTATTGAACATTTGACTACGAAACTCTTTTAGAATTTATTCATGAAACTTTTTAGTGGTTAGGTTGCGCTATTTTATCGCTGAAGTTCATTATTATCTGATTGTTTTAAAAAAATTGACTAGAAAACAACACAACACTTGATTCTTAAATAATCTATATCAGTAAACATGTTTTTCTATCTTTTCGAATTTATTTAAGCGTCAAAAAACTGTAGTCTTTTTGGAATACTTTAAATATTTTCATATTGCCTTCTGAAGCACGTATAATTAGAACCCCTAGAGACTAAATTCTGCACTACATCATTTAAATTAGAACCTGCTTACAAAAGTATCTGCTATTCCAGGCATCGGCGGCACCCGCTTCATCTCATTCGAGGACCGTCACTGGCACAACGACTGCTTCATCTGCGCGCAATGCAAGACATCACTCGTGGGCAAAGGTTTCATCACCGACGGCCAGGACATCATCTGCCCGGAGTGCGCCAAACAGAAGCTCATGTAAATACATTAAACACCGCCACAAACGCCACATGCTTCTAACGCTTCCGTCTCTAAAACGAGCATAGATTAACTTAATCACACATCATGGAGTATGTAATCAGACCCTCCTGTCGTTCACCACGAAATCTGTCTGGACAAAATTAAAGCTAGGTACACATTCGCCTCATTTCAAAATGTGACTGACCAAGTTTTTTGTGCTTGTGCAGCGAAAAGACAATACTACCGTTAGTCGCTAACGCGAGAGACTGGTGCATGATCGAAAAGCAAGACTCTGCGACCGATGAGATCTGATCTTTCTGACGAAATTACTTCGCGTAAGATCGACATTTACTTACTTGTTACTTAGAAGCATTGTTGACAATATTTTTATACAAAAAAACATTGAAAAAATCAGAAAAAAAAATGTGAATGCACAAAATATATATTAAGAGTATTATTATATTGCTTTTCTATTGAGATTTCTTGAAGGTATTTATATATGTTGACTCTCTAGATTCGAGATAGTGTCACTAATACCTTGGTGATTTTCATCCACAAATTTTTATTTATTTAATTATTCATTAATTAATTATATATAACATGCTGATTGCCATATGATTTCGCTTTGGCTGTTGTGTTAGTCCTTTAGATACTACGGTCAATTTACCTAGTGCGGTTCACACGATGCCTTAATAACATATCTAAGTCAATTCAAGGGTATATATAACTTGTATGTATATGGTTATATGAACTACGTCATTAATAGTCTGGGTTGCCAGACCTAATGTTTTTATTACTAGAGATTTCCAAAAGGAATGTATTAAATTTAAGTGCTTGTCATTGTTAAAATTGCGTAACATAGTATTAAGACAACTATTGACAGAGTAATGTATTGTACGTTTAAGTATTTATTTATATATACATAATTAACGGGAGTACGCACTTTTTACATCTGCGGCGGTGTTGCCATTACCGCGAGCCAGTGTTGCCAGCACCACCGGCAGCCACTCTAACATATTTTAAGCGACGCAAAGTCATCTAGATTTTACTAATGAAAAAAAAATATAAAATATTTTTGTTCTCTAATAGGCATCACTCGTGTTACAATAATTTAATTGAATGTTTACGATATTTTTACAAGTTAATAATAATATTATATAGCATAGACTCGTTTATAGTTGAGTAACATCTGTGTTTTGAGATCGCATGAAGCGAGCCGACCACGAAATGACTGGGGATCATTTTTATAAGGGTATCTTTGTTAAGGGTTAAATTATTCGAATGTTGATTATTAATTTATAATAATGTACATTTAAAAATGCTTAGCTGTGTGATCTGATCTTAATAAATCTTTGTATCTGTTTACCCATAGATTGTATAAACTATGATGAAACTGAAAATAAATGTATAAAATTAACTTTTATTGTTGGTTATTATTTATCCGAACCTCACATTATTTTGTTACTACCCTCAAAAAATCAATTCATAATACTGCGTTACTTAGGGGTATGTTCCGATATACACTGCGACCACTGAACAGTATGACGTCAATTTAGTATACTGGAAGCCCGTTCCTTTATAGCTAGTTATACTGGTGACTTTTTAAAACGGACAGTCCAGTATACTGTTAATCCTATTTTTTGGCACCATTTTCAAATTTGTTAATGCAAGGTGAATATAAATAAAGATTCCCTCTTTTCAAAAGAAAATATTATAAAATTGTGTATAAAAAAATATTTATCAATTAAATCCATCTTATAATAAAAGTAAGTATTTTTTTTTTGTTTATTTAGAAACTTATCATTTTCTGATTCTGTTTCGACTGATCACGTGATCAAAAGCACTGCGAGCACCTTACCTCGAAATCTCCAGTGCTCACAGTACAAATATGGCGGCAATTTATGACGTCATAAATTTCCCTAGGGTACTGTAGCAGTGTACTGGCAGTCCATAACGGAACGGATTTTTCAGCAGTAAGACCACTGCGCAGTGCTCGCAGTGTATATCGGAACATACCCTTAGATAAAATAAAATCATTGAAGGAAGAAAAACACTTTATAATATCACATTATATTGACTAATGTACACTTCAATGGTAATATACAAATTGTGTCACAAATAATATCACTGATTTTATACAAATGTCAAAAGCTTTACTTACATATATGTACTTATTTCATATAGCCGAAATATATTTCATTTGTGTTGAATTTCTAAGGCTGCTACGTAATATTTTAGTATAGTTCTACATTTTCATGACCGTTACCAGCCTGTTAATGTCTCCATTACAGTCCGTCGGTACAGTCCTGTCCTATGGATGGAATAGTATCAAATAGGGAATAAGCCATAACTAACTACGCGGGCCAATACGGCTTGGTAGGTTTTAACGGCTGCAGGTGCGGTACCAAAAGCTTCCGAACGAAAGCACAAAGCAATTGGAGATAGTAAATTGGTCACCCATCGTATGATTGGCCAATACGAAATTACTTTACCTTTACATCGCAGACCGTACGGCCAACTAGTGCGACACCGAGATTCTCAACGTGTTCGTAATTTAATAAAAAAAAACTAAATCCTCATATTACCTACTGCTTGTTGAAATATTTTTTTTTTTTACCAACTAATTTGCAGTATCGATAAAATAATGAAGAATTATATCGTGGGCTTCAGGCCATAAAGGTGAAAAATTTACATGACTGGCGGTCAAATGTCGAAGTGTTTTATACGTTTATTAGTAAACTAGCCTTCCGCCAGCGGCTTCGTCCGCGTGATGAGAAAATTCCATAACTTTCATCTCCTAATTTACCCTCTTAGGGGTCGAATTTCGTGAAATCCCGTCTTATTGACCACGTGCGTCCTAAAAAGAACACGCATGCAAAATTTGAAACTCCCAGCACGTGATAAAATAAGAAAAGATTATAAAAAGATAAGTTATTTTTGCATATACGACCTCTCTGGTTTGAAGCCCGCGATATAGTTATATATCAATGTTTATACAACATAGACAACATAGAACATAGACAAGAAGGAGAATCTACTTCCTTCTAGTCATATTCTGATCATATTAAAGTTCAAAATATTTGTATTTCGCGGCCCCAGAATTATTTTAAACGAAATCTACATTTTTCGACTTCAGCTGGTACAGAGCAATGCAACAGGTCACCATGAAATATCAAATTTCCACAAGCGATGTTGAACCTTATTTGAGAAAAATTAATATTTAAAATCAATAATTGTAGAAATTTCACAGGTAGCTCGGTGGCGTAGTGGATAAGCGCCGCGGCCCGCGATCGTAGTCGTTAAGCAACTCTCGCAAGGGTCGGTCACGGGATGGGTTACCAAAAAATTATCTCGAGCTACTCCGTGCTTCGGAAGGCACGTTAAGCCGTTGGTCCCGGCTACATTTGCAGTCGTTAATACCCTCCAATCCGCATTGGGCCAGCGTGGAGGGTCATGACCCATCCTCCTTAACCATCCATAAGGAAGGCCTGAGCCCCTGCAGTGGGGACGTAAAAGGGCTGATGATGATGATGATGATGACTATTTATAACCTGACCTAAATTACTGTTGAGCCAATGTGAATTTACACATTTAGTCAACAACAACCGAATTGAAATGTAAATTCTATTAACATTATAAATGTGAAAGTTTCTTTGTTTGGATGTTTGTCCGTCAATCACGCCGAAACTACTGAACGGATTTTGATGAAATTTGGTATACAGATAGAGTATTAGCTGACTTAGATAATTAGCTGACTTTTTATCCCACTAAACATTTCCCTAGGAACCAGGCGGGAGAAACCGCTGGCGAAAGCTAGTAGTCATATAATTTCTTAGTAACTGACTAAATACAATACTTACACACATTTACAGTATAAAGCTACTATTTCAAAATTGCCTAATAATACCTGAAAAAAATTTAATATAGTTTTTAATATTACATGTTTGGGAATCTACTGATAAATACCAGTGCGTTAGCAAATTAGTTTTAGTTCCATAATAAAGATGTCTCTCAAATAAATTCCATAACAGAATACATATTTCTTCATGCGACATGGACAGTAAACAAATATTTCTTAAAAATTAAATTTCTTATAAAAAAACGCTCAAAATATTTGCAGTTCATATTTAATAGTGTCAGAGAATTCAATATTGTATTACGCTCACTTAATTCTATTTAAATCACTTATTATTTAAGTATACTATTTTTACATTATAATAACACATGAAAAATACATTATAAATTAGTACAGTACTCTAATATAGTCACAGAAACTCATCACAAGATCAAAATATAATATACTTGTCATTCTACTCCCAATCTAAAACTTTGTGTAGTTGAATAAGGTGCACTTTGCTATATCTACATATCTAAACAAACCTTTCAGACTGTGTAAATTCCATATGATAAGAAAAAAAACTTTAGTCTTAGTGAATGTTAACTTAAAAATAATACTATGACAATTATTATTAATTCGTCTGTTTCAAATAGATGTCATTATGACTTAAAAATACATAAATACACTTCTTCATCTAACTTTTAGTAATATACACTCGGAAAATGTAATCACTAACAATGCCAGTGCGAGTCCATTGTAGCAAATTAGCTACAGTAAGATATAACTAATGTGGCTCTGGTACCTGCACAAAAGTCAGAATCAGGCTCGACCCTCTTGCGAGTGAAATGGACACCTTTTCCTTTTATATGACACCTTATAAAAACTAATTGTTCATATTTATGAGGCATACAAGGAACCATGCACTATATTAGTTGGATCTCACTGTACTGAATATCACATCTTAACCTTCTTCATCCTCGGATCAGTCGGTACCAAAATATTTCTGTCCAAAGTGGTTGGGAGCTACAGGGTGCAGTTCTGAGGTGAGAATCTTCATCTTAGGGACGTAGTCCACAACAGCTTGCACTGCTGCCGGGGTACAGAAGAGGTTCGAAAGGATAATCCGCTCCTCCTTTACACCATGTTGAGTCAACACATTAACAGCCTAGAAAATTAATATGGACATGAACATAATAATACCAAAAACATTAGAATTCATAAGAAATGAAAAAGTATCTGGGTAACAGTACCGGAACACCTACTTTTTGCCACATTTAAGATAACCATAGAGTATAAAATTACTCCATGGTTATCGTAATTTGAAAAAAAATAGTGTCAAAACAAAATTATTGAGGTATAGAAGGTTATATATGTATGTACACTAAACAGCTCAACACAAACAATATTTTTACACATGATTTTAAACCTAATGTTTTGAGAGTAGAGTTAAAAACCAATTGAGAAAAATTTATAACCTTAGCATGCAAACATGTGAACATTACTCTTAACAAATACAGTAAGATAGATCTTTTTAATATTTCTAATATATGAAGCATTCCAATACCTGTTTCACCGTGTTGCCTGTAGACATAATAGGATACATGAGTAGCACCTGCCTCTGAGCGATATCCTCGGGGAATTTGGCATAAACTACATGTGCTTCGTGAGTGTCTGTATCACTCTCTACCAAGATCTTGCCAATACGGATTGAGCGGCAACAGTCTCTGAGGCCCTGAAATAATAATCACATGAATGTAGTAGAATTTGAAGGGAAATATACAATTTTTTTTTTGAGTAATAAAGAACAATGGCGAACTTCCATATAGTTTTGGACCTGAATTTTTAGTCCCGTTCATGAATGAAATAAACGTGTACTTTTAGGTATAAGATAAACTAACAAAATCCTAATCATATTTTTCCTTTAAAAGTTGAGATTAAAAAGATATGGCATAAAATACTTTGTGAGGTTATATATTGCATCTTTGCTTTTTCGTTGAATGGACGTTAAAATAAATAAAATTGGTAACCAGGTTACTCCGTTAAATAAACTAGATTAAAATAATTACATATCTAACAAGATTCAGACACTTATAATAGAAAAAACATTTATAATATACGACTAGACTGTGTGGAGTAGATCCCTTTGCCTTTAATTAAATCATTACAACTGAAAGTGACAAATAGGGCAATGTACACATTGAACTGTCATTGTTATAACCGAATCAATTGCCATTCGGAATCCAAAAGTAATGCAAATATCAACGTTAGTCGAAAAAACACGCTCCACCAATCATCCACTATCATTTCACCATCATCATCATAGACCATTCATAGATGAAAACAAGCATGTCAAAATAAAATCAACTAATCGATTATTTAGAACAAAATAATTGATACGTTAACCTTTCATCGGATCAACTGGGTAACTGGCAATAATCTTCTTAAATTGGTTCTGGTATCTTAGCTTTCAACTTTTTTATTTCTCAAGTATTCAATACGTAATTAGAACGAATAAAATAAATATTTATAAAAGTATTCAAAGACCGTATTTCATATTATATAACATATTAAGTTTTTTTTATTGAATATATATTTGACGTTCATTCGCTTTGTCTGTACGCATCGTTACATTACATATCTCACTTATTATTAGCAGTAAATGACGACAGATAATATTCTATAGAACATGTTTGAAAAACTCGCGATTAATTGAGAATCGCTTTTGACATCGTTGATGTATGTGATCGATTTTTCAAAAACGTGTGTTTTCAATTAAAGACAACGGAATCTATTCTATACAATCTTATTTTTAACTTATATTCGATTATTAAGCGTATTAATGGTACTTTAAAGGCAATAGAATTAATTGCAATTTACAGGAAACGATAATATCCATTAAAATAGATGACCCTTTTATTGCCTGGCGCAAAATTCATGAAACACTTTCAAGATATAGTTTTTTTATTAAAGCACTTCTGCGTAGACCAGAACGTTTCTTAAGAAGATTTTTGCGTTTTGTTTTTGCACTATCATTAGACGTTTTGTTATCTTAATAATTTTATTACCAGCATTTAATATTTTAGTTTGGTTCACCGAAATAAGATCTATTAATCATATATTATTTATTTGTCATATTGCCATCCATGTACGATTTTGAAAATTATGGGGTCTGATTTCGCCATTCTTCTTTAATGCATCTGTACATTTCCCATCCTCCTTAACCATCCATAAGGAAGGCCTGAGCCCCTGCAGTGGGGACATAAAAGGGCTGATGATGATGATGATGATGATGATCTGTACATTTAGCTTTGGAGAATAAGCAAACTTCTGTTAAATTTATCAATGCTTTTTTGAAATATGGTTCTTATATGATATATAATAACCCCTTGAGCATAAATAAATAGATTCATCTCGCACAAACTGACAGAAGTTACAAGAGCAAAAAAAACCAGTGGCTTAATTGTCTAAAAAAAATATTTCATAAATCACTTTGAATTTAACATTTGAAAGACCAATCTTTTTATATGTGGATTTACTCAGAACTGTACATACAACAAAAATTTTTGAACAGCTACTAATAAATATGTTAAAATGAAATGCAAAGTGTAACCAACTTTTCTGACAGCGAATGACATGACAATACAACCTGGTATCAATACTTCTACTTGATACCTACTTATATTGAAAATTTTATAAATGCCATTGTATTTTGGAGCACATTTGATACTTTTGATAGTCAATAGCAATCCTCTGTTTAAGGAGGAAAGAGAAGTAGGTCTAGACATTAAAAAACAATGCATATAGAAAGTATTTAGTTAGGAATAACTTCAAAATTTTGTTGGCAGTGAGTGACCAACCAAGTACTGATACAAATACTTAATTACTTCATAATACTACTTACTACATGATTCTAAATAGATGCCAAAAGTACTTGGTATTAAAGGAAAAGTATAGACTAAGTACTTGTATTTAGTAGTATAGTTTCAGCCCTAAATGAGCTAACAAAAAAAATGTGCTTAGTGCTTTTGTTAGTACATGTAATGGTTTTGATTATGTTTTTGTAAATAAAATGTTATGTTTGTCAAATGTATGAAATGATTTAACATTCAATTATTTTATTTTTATGTATAGAATAATTTTATGCTTTAGTCAAAATAGGACAATTAATTACAATCATACAAAATCATAAAGGTTATTTGACAACCTAACAATAACAAAACAAAATGAATGATCATTCAAATCATCATCTGTTACAAAAGCAATTGTGAGTGATTTATGGAATTATGTAACTTTTAAAGTCAAAGTTACATAATTCCATAAATCACTATCACAACTGCTATATGTTTGAAAGTTGATTATATTAAATAAATAGACAATTAGGCAACAGATTTCAATGCAGTTTTCATCAGTGATTCAAGAGGAAGATCTATACACAATAAAACAATGAAGGTCAAACCACTAATAAAAGCCACTTATAAATATTTATTAAAAGTTTAGTACCTGTTCCATTGCTTCTCCAGATCGAACAATTGATACACCACAATTGCCTGCACCATATTTCAAGCCTTTGTAGAGAGCCCCTGTGGGTGTTATAACTTCACAATCGGTGAAAGGCAATTTATTAAGACTCTCTTCAATCACCAAACGAATCAAACGGTCTGCATAAAACTTGAAATCACTCCTACTAGTATTTCTGTAAGAAAACATATAATTTATATGATGTTCGATGAAGTACATCTAGGTTATGATAAATACTGTTGATGGTCTGTAAATTCCTTAAAAGTGAATTTAAAAATAAAAAAAAAAACAGTTTAAGGTTTTTATAACCTAACATTGAACTTACTTGTCTCTGAGAATAGTTTGGAGTTCTTTGATGTTGTCGTTTGACGGTAAAAGAGTCAGACTGTCGCCGAAGTGTTCTTTTACTTCATTGGCATCCCACTGTCTGATATCGGTATCAATAAAATCCATCTTCAATAAAAAGTATACAACACGCACAAAATGCAAAACACAATGCGAAAATTCAATGACATTAGATCAAATGATTATGTCAACCAAAGACTACAGTGTATAATGTCAACGGCATATGCCACTGAAGTACTTAGTCAATGTCATCATGACATTGACATTCCCATACAATCAGTCTGTACTAGATATGTGAACAAATAACCAATATGTAACAATAGGCAAAATAGAACTAAAATTCGTTGAAAACGATTTAAACGTTCAGTTAAGCGTTGAATTTTATAGGTTTGATGACTATATATTTTTTTGCCTGACCGTCAGCTAGATTATTAAAGAATATTAAATTATTATCAATTTATCTCCCTTACATAGTACTAAATTATCTCCTTAATGACACGTTTTTTTCGGCAAACATACAAAGTTATCTAAAAATGTATGATATTATGTCTATTTTTTATGTACTTTAATTTTTTTTTCAATTTAAGTGTTTAAAAAAAGGCGTAAACGGAGATTAACGGACGTGACGTCATTTGTGGGTAAATAAACGGGATTTAAGTGAAAATAAAATGAATTATCGTGTTTAATACCCATATTCAGACTCACAAATACATAAAACAGAAAACTGAACATTGCAACTTGTTTAAAATCAAACAAATCATTAAAATTATTTGGTACTTTGAATGTTTTCCGCGCTTTTCCTACATAAACTATGTAGGAAAAACCTACTAATATACCCCCATATGACGCCACGTGCCCTGATTGGTGATTTGACAGATTACAAAATTTGGAAAATTATTATTTTGTTTATTGATTTAAATATAGTAACAACTTTACCGCTCTGACTACTCCAATAAAATGTTTCAGGCTCATATTGCTGTGCCGAAATACTGTTATATATAACGCGATCTAACCTAAAACCGGAATAATTATGGGTCAACATTAAAAGTGTATCGCCTGCCGAATGAGGAAGTATTTAAAAAAAATAGTTCCCAAAATCAAACTAGATGTCGCAACGGTACTTTATTGATTTCTCCATGACAACCCTTCCGGTTTTCTTTCATGTATAAAAGTAAATTAGTTTTCAAAAGTCAGAAAACAACTCATATTCTATTTCTACTTTTTCGTATTTGTATTGATATCTAAGTTTTGAACTTTGTAAATTTCAGTTTGTTTAATATGTTAGTTAAAAGGAACGGAAATTACTATCTTTGGTCCATTCATTTCCTGCAAAAATCAACTTTTGCTAGTGTCACCATCTAGTGGAGGTGCTTTATCGGTGCTTTCTTTTTATTTTTAAATACTTCCTCATTGTGGTATGAGTGTGTATTCGCCATAATTTTACCATCAGGAAATTTTCTTTCTGCTAACTGGACGAGACGAATCAAGAAGTTATTTGAAAATCATCAACATGGAAATAAAAACAAATATTTCTGTGCTCTAAACATCGCAACCATATCGAAACAAATATGAAATAACACATTGTTGATCCAATGATCTATACAATCTTTCTTCTCCTGCGGGCCTACATGTAGATCTAAGTCATGTGGGTACCACATCCCATAGTCCTACATGTAGTTCAACAAGTCAGCGATCAAATAAAGTATTTTCCCATCATCAACATCAAGCTCTTTTACGTCGACAGTTCCTTTTGCAATAGAGTGAAATATTATCCATACACTCAAATTAAAAAAATAAGACTTCCTCTTTAAAAGAATGACTAAAAATAAATATCAAAGTCATATATGTATTTGTAATAATATCTAAGTTTCGAACTTTGCAAATTTCAGTTTTTTATTATATTAGATAAAAGGATCAGAAATGACTATTTTTGGTCCATTCGTTTCCTGTAAAAATCAACTTTTGCTAGAGTCGCCATCTAGTGGAGGTGCTTTCTTTTTATTTTTAAATACTTCATTACGAATGTTACTGACTAACATTTCTATAAACAATATGAATCTAAACAATAATAAAGAGTATGAGTTAAAGAATAGAGGTGATATTCTTCTATATTGCTATAGATCTATTACTCTTAACAGTGCTCGTTTATATTGGTACCTACACTAAATTATCAAAAATAAAGTTTTGTTGCTTTGATGTAGGGCTCAAAATGCCTTATTTAACGAAAAGTGATCGAATAGACTGATTAATTTGTTAAAGATTCTAGTGAACTATAAGTTCTATCAGCTCATCTCTGAAACGTTTCCTAACCGTACGTCATACATGAACTACACAATACTAACACTTGCTAATTTAGCACAGAAAAATAAACCGGCGTGCGATTAACTAGCATTCTATTTGCCAAAATAGACTCAAAAGTATGGGAACAACCTTAACTCTAATACACTAAGGTTTGAATCTTAAGAATATTTGATTACTAATTCACTCACTAATTTCCCATACCTATCTATAAATATCGGATATCGAGCGAGAAATCGAATCAGACAATTATTTTTAGCTGCAGTGCAGTGGCTAAATAACGAGATAGAGCCCCGACTGCATGTATTGTTTACCTTGATAGTTGAGTTATGTTAGGTACTGTTATTGATTTCATCCAAAACATTGAACAGACACTTTTGTGATAACAAATATAAGAAGAAAATAAAACAAAATATTCATATACACAGTAACTCTTTATTTGCCCAGAAAATACAAATTAATGATTGCAAGAATAATTCCACTTTGTAAGTCGTAAATTACAACGCACCTCTGTGCTATATTTTATATTTGTTCTGAAAATGTAACCACAAAATCTCATTCACAAAAATATAATAATATGTATTTAAAAATATGTATCGAATATGGAACTGTTAACCGCTAATTCGCACTAGAGGCAGAATATTAACAACAGTATTTTTTTATAAATGCATGAAAAAATAGAATGAAGGAATAAATGCCAACAGGCAGTGGTGTATTCGATACGCCTAAGGACCACTCATCTATGCATTAAAATTCATGCTATAAACAAGCTATTTCTGAATGTACTTCACTAGTCAATTATTCTATGATTATATTACTTTACAAAGAAGTAAATTATAATAATTATGCCTATTAGGATCGCCAAAATCTAGATACACCACTACCAAAACAACTATTTAGTGATCGTGAAAATATATGTCTAGGAAATAATATTACAAAACTGTTGAAAAAAAAATTTGTAACAGGGTTGCTACCGATAAAATCGAGTCAAAATAAATGTAACATTTCGCATAACAACAGATTTCAACATTTTAGTTGCTTCTAAAACATCATCTGAAACGTAAAACATATCGATAGAAAAAAAAAGCTACAAACACACTTACAAAATATAAATGTTCAATTGTAAACATAATAAGTGTTCTATTAAAAAAAAATATTTAAAAATTAATAAAAATTATGATTATTACAGGTGTACAAATTCGTAACAACCTATAGATCATATTTATTAATTCCGACTTTTTAAGGGATAAAAGCATATTACAATATACTAGGTATCTCTCACTTGTGTACTTTCCGATTAATTAATTTGAATTGAAACTGATTGAATCGTTACAAATACATGATATCCCATCCCAATCGTATTAAATCGCCCACTTATCATTAAAAAATAACAAAAATGTTTTTGTTTTTCTCTTTTATTATTTTAAAGTACCTAATAAACTACTTTCAACAATGTTGGCTTCATGATATTTTTACAAAGCAACAATCTGGATAATAAATTAACAGCCTATCTGAACATTCTACATTTATATTGTGACTTTTAATAGTAATAGGCATTTATCGTTACATCTTTCTTTAATAAGACCTGCAATACACGGGACTGTCCAGAAGTAAGCACAAGTTAATCGCGGTCGGTACCACAATAAGTATTAAATCACATTTTATCTTTCATTATCGGCAGCCAGGAAGATTTTTCTTGCTTCTTTATAATGTGTCCGGTGTAGTGTGCCAAGAAATATGTAATTATTATAATTCTTCTGGACAAATCCTAAAATGCAATTTTTTCTTATCTCATGTCATTTTCATAGACATAGAAATATATTGACCTGACTTGGTTATTAAATAAAAAAAATTATATAGTTCCTCTAAATAACAGGACCTATCAAAATATCTATACCTGATTAAAAATAAACTTGTAGTTCACAGCACGACGGTGTACGATTATTTGTTTATGGAAATACTTTGTACAACTCTGGTAATATAGGTCCTTCTCGTTAAAACGAATGATTATGGCTAATAACGACACTAGACCGAATTGAACGATCTATTTGACTATACTAAAACGAGCACGAGGTTATTAAATTCAGTTGCAGCAGACACGGGGCGGTGACCCCCTCTAGCTAATAAATAAATTTACAGGTATTCCGTCCGATTGAAAATTCAACGTACGCGAGAAAATTACGTTCCGCGCTAAAACTAGCATAAAGCAGCTAAACTATATAGAATCACATACTGCGAATCGATGCTTTGACACATTAAAAATATTAAGGTTTTATTATTTGCGACTGTCTCATAGATGGCGCTGATGTTTAATTTTATATCAATGAAAATATCCATATTCCTATAATTATTCATTAATTAATAACGAGGGCTTTTCAGAGATTTTTTACGGTAAAATAATGTTTGTTAACGCATTCATAACGCGCTACACGTGATCCTCTGTCCAGATAGCTCATTGACGGGCGCGTTAGTTTCACGCACTTATGTCTTTACGCCCCTTGATGTACCGAGCTACGAACGTGGTTTATTTCATTTAGAAATACACTTTTTATTTGCCTTAATTAAGAAGTAGTTGAATTATATTAAATCCTCTTTTAATTCAGACGAATAAAAGAAAGTATAAAAAAAATCTTAAACAAACAATATCTTTAGATAAGTACAATATTAAATACAACGCTATAAGCGTAAATCATATATCGTAAATTGGCCATATGCATTCATAAAAGTTACAAAACAAAAAAAAATACCATCACCATCTCTTGACAGTCAAAACTAACAAAACCATAACGCTCCACTTTAAGTAAATATTAGAAACGGTCGTCTAACTTGGACAAATGTAAAGACGCTTAAATCTTAATTTGTGTGCGTCCAAAGTCAACATTCGGGAATTTCTATATCCTAATTAAGTCTATGTTCACGCGCTGCGATATTACGCGCGTAAAGGCGAAATTACATTTAGCCCGTGCCGCGTGTCGCCACGCGTAATGGTTCCATATATATAGTATAGGGCAGATTATAACGTTAAACGCATGTGGCGACGCGGTGCGGACAAGATATAATTGCTTTATATATTTCTTAGTAGCTTAACGCGAGACGCAACGTGACACGTGGAAGCATTATCATATTTGAACTTTTTTATTTACCCTAACGCCTCTCGACCGTCGCACCGAGAGCGTACTCTCGGTGCTTGCTTACCAGAAGTGACCAATATGTAATCCTGATTAAATATTACATTTAATAATTTGCACCCACAATTCAAGTTTATATATTGTAATCGTAACAAATTCTATATATATCGAATTCAACGTTTAAAAACGATAAATAAATATAAATTAATTACTTATAAACTACAAAAAATTTCAAGTTTAAATAAACCTTATAGTTGAGCCGATATATTTGATACTTAAATTGTTCTTTTTACTATGTTCTTAATCCTTCATTTTGTGGTGGTAGTAATTTTATATTTACAATAATACAAAACATTGTGTACCTAATTATCAAAAGTGTATACCAATGAGGTAAAATAAAATAAATTCTGGAACCGTTTAAACATACTATATCAATATTCAAGCAACAATGAACTTTATTAAACGTAATCATCAATCGAGATTAAGTATCGGCCTTCTCTGTCCCACTTAGAGGCCGTCCATTAATCACGTGATGATTTTTCAGCATTTTTTAACCCGCCCAACGACTTTGGTGATAACCCCCCAGATTTAAGACTAAGGGTTAAGTAATCGTGCGTTGGACGAAAAAATAAATACACGTGATATATTACGACACTCCCATCTCCCCCCTTGCGATTTTTCGTGATTAATAGACGGTCCCTTACACAAGCCCAGTAATAATTACAAACTGTCAATTTATCCATTATATCAATATTGCTTATTCCACTAGGAATCAAACCTCTTACACTTTGAGCACTCGTTTCACAAGCGTTGCAAAGTACATCTATATTACTATCAACTACCGACCGCGTCGGACGGCCGAACAAGCGTACATCGTAACCTTTGCGATCTGTACACGTCATCGATATAAACTAGGCTTTTACAAATAAATTACATCATTTAATAATTATTATAATTTAAAAAAAAAATCACTCGCTTTTCCGTAATAAATATAACAACAAAGATACTACAGTTTTCAAACGGGTCGTTTGAAAAGTTCATATTTTAATGGATTTGTACGGTACCGAAGTCTACAATCCTTTTTTTTTTAATTTAAATATAACAATATCTGAACTATTAGAAACTATTTAATTATTCACAGTAAATAGCATTAAAATCAAAGCTTTATATTTAATGTTATATAGTTTAATTTTCAACATTTAATTGAAATAAGTGTACGATAAATGGAAGGGCTCGTAATATATTCAATTAAACATTGAAATATAAATTCTAAAAACAACATAACGATCACACTGCCAGCCCAAGAAATACAGGACTTTATGACATATTCGATGGCGTCAAAGAGAACGCCAATCTAGTACTCTACTTATGTTAAAGATGGCGCTAATCATGGATATTACAAAAAATATCTATAATGCATACTATAAAATTTCTTTCTTTCTTTAGAAACAATTAACAGTTCGTTTTTTTGACTTATGTAGTAAACGATAAATATACAGATAAATATTACATAAATCGCGTACTGCGTAAATCAAATGACACCCTGTCAAATGTCTAATTTAAAGGGTATATTGGCAAGGTGTAAAATCAGCGCATTAACAATTAAAATCTTAGAAGTATTTATATTACTGAGAAACTAACACAAACATGAAATACATGTGCAGCGATGAACTTGAAATCAGCTATTTTTAGAATAAACGTACTTCCAAGTTGTATTTCGGAGAAGACTTCGGTACCTAACAAATCCTCTAGTGGGACCCACATCAAACTCGACGGCACCGTCTCCAGCACAAGTTTTGTTAAAATAAATATTATAGCAAGAAACGAGGGTTGCCACATCTCATAATTTTAATTATACTGTCCCGCGTCTCTACCCACATTCAATATTTATAAAATTAAATTAAAACTGCTGATTTGGATACATTATAAAAAATACCGACCAGATAATTATCCGATATAAAGTGTACAGTACAGTGTGTTAGAAACAGCGGTTGTGTATCAATAAGATGTCTAAGACAATTGTCTTTAATTGCTTTCTTGAAACATGGCAACCATAGCAAAATGCCTACAAAATTAGCCTTACGTAAAAAAATAACCTTATGGAAATTGGTGGTAGTGACAAAATTCGTATGGAAACTGTCCCGTCGAGGGTCGCGGGTATGCGCACTTGGAATGTAAGCGTCCAAGGGGCATTGGCTCAAGCCGTATCAATCGAAAACTAACCTTAGAATATCTGTCGGAAGGTCTAATTTAAGGTCATTAGTTAATAAATCAACCAGAATATAGCTTCATCTGGTTTCTCGTTGCGACGTGAACGTCAGGCTCGATACGTAATAAAATGCATGAAAAACTGTTCCAATGCTGATTAAAAGTAATAAAAGATAAATTGGCAATAGAAAAAAATGAGTTCGACATTATTTAACTTGATAAATCAACTACTAAACGGTTTCATCGCGTTCGTATTTAGTTTTATTGAAGTTTCGGACCCTTCACAGGTTCCGGTTTCACATAAGATATCTTATATTTTAAAACCGTGTAAAGTTGTTCCATTTAAGCATAGTGCGTTTGAAAATATAACAAAACAATATTATGTAACATGATTTTTTACGATACCAGTTTATGAATATTAATATAAAACAACGACGCAAATCGGTGTCTCCGCACAGCCGAGCAACTGATCAAAAAACTGGTCGGATGAATTTTAAATACACTTTAAAAAAACAAATAGAATCTCCAACGCAAGCCAGATGAGTAGAATCGGACACATCAATTAATTACGATTACCTACTATTGATTCGATAATTATCCAATTTGCAACCTATCGCATCTATTATAACGCAGATAATAATTAATCGCCTTGTGTAGTATAAATAGCTGTGCTAATTACAATGTGATGTAGTTTTGTTTACATCGATCGACCTTAAATTGACAACATGGATCCGAGATCGATTACGGAATGATATAAGTGAACACGCACCAAGTGTCAAATTCGTCCCTAAGAAAGGGAACATTAGGCGTTAGTCACACTGTCTGATTTAAGTTTTTATTTTATATTATTACTACAACAGAAAATAAATAAGAAAACGTAGAAACTGGGACATGTATATGTGGGGGTGAGTTTGACAACGCCGAGTATAAAACTCGCCCCAATCAAACGTAATCGCAATCGGACCTAACTAATAACGCATTAAGATCGAAAATCATTCGTCCAGCCCGATCGAGTCTAAGGTGTTTCGTGTACCGCAATGAAACGGCGTCGAACCAGCCCAGCCCACAGCCATGACCCGTACACTACTCGCTATAACTATCACAACACGACTAGTGGGCGACGACGCCGTTCCTCTGTCTCGGATACGCGTCATACTGCATCTTTTCTACGCGCGAAACTTCGGGCGTCGGTTCTACTTTGGCTTTCTTGTTCGTCTTCGGCGAGAGGTAGGCCTTGTAGAAGAATTGGGCGAACAAGACGAAGTATGAAAAATACATGGCCGTAGATAGTTTTAGATTGATGTTACTGATGTGACAGGAGTGTGGCGGAGCAGTGGCGATGTAGTTGGCGGCCCACATGTTTATGGCGCACCCCACGATCATCTGCGTGAGCTGCAGCACCGTGATCAACATGGCCAAGGAACGCGGCGGGTACTTTCCCATGCTCACCAACGCGTAGTAAGAGTACATCACACTGGAAAAGAAATCCGTAAATCAGATACATTTTAATATCAAATGTGGATCCACATCCACATCCTTTTTATAAGGGGCTTCTGGACGGGAAATATTTTTCGACAATAGGGTTGACGAATGGGTAAAAAAAAAAGAAATTCTATTCAGTCAGTCAGGTAATAGAAAAATATTACTCTTATAATTTTTTACTTCAATTTAACAAAAACAGCTTAGTCCCTATTAGTGGCAGCACCTGTCTGGAACTTATCGCCCGACCAACGCAGAAATGTTTTTACCAATACCGACCATACCAAAACGTTTGGATATATGTCTGCAATATTGAACAACCCGGCTGACCATTGTGTTGCAGCCACTAACTGGCGAAAAATATTGCCAGTTTAGAAGCCGCAGTATGTAATTTTATTTTGATATATATATCTGGCGAGCATGTAATAATTTTAAATGTTTTATCCAGGCAAAAAAAAACGAAGCTACAGGTAAGTGCATGAATAATATAGTCTTTTAGAAGAGTTGTCTTCTAGTTGCCAAATTAGTTTTAACGTTTTAATATATTAACTATTAGCCATCCAACAAATAGATAAATTGAGAAATACGAGGTTGTATACTATTTGTTTCTCAGTGACTATATAGAGTTCAATGTTTTTAACTCAAAATGTTAGTAATATCCGCTTTATGACTCACCGGTGTTACACACACGCTCGTCGTAGATATTTTCGTTCATAAGCGATTGCGTCAACTTTGAACAAAGTTTATATTATTAAATATACCTGTACTATGAGTAAAAACATCGTCAGATGTGGACGAATTCGTAATGAGAGTAAGTGTGAAATTTATGTACTATTTGCACTGTGCCACCTAACACTGTAAAGTATAATTAGATTTTCAAACCTAATTATTGCTATTAAGGTGGAATATTGCTAAGGGTTACCACCCGTACTTTATAATAAAGTATTGTACGTAATTTCAGACAATTGTACTCTATACTCTATGAGAACAATAAAGTACACGAAAATACTTTATTTCGCATGATTTGATTTGTTTGTGATTTTGAAGCTTAGTCATAACTATTTTTTTGTTAAACAAAATTAATCGATTCATACTGTATCGATAAATAAATAGAAATATTGTTAAGTTTAATAATAAAGAAAAATAAATAATACTTTATTTTGATTCTATATACTTTTTTCTGTACCTATAATAACTAATGTACTTTAATTGGGAAAAAAAGGTGGCAACCCTAAACATAAAAATATAAATATATATATAAAGTGTGAGAAAAATTTGACTGATAAACTATAAAACTTGTAACTTTTTATAGATACTATTTAAATATCTTATGATATATTTGTCACTGTTGAATTGTCTACGATAACGAGTATCATTTTTAATCTGTAAAAAAAATTTTAATAAAAAAATCTTAAAAACAATCACAAAAAAGCAAAGTATCAACGATATCACGCGTCGACTTGTTTATGGTACAATATTACCGGTAACCGAACCATAACATACAAACTGGCGCCAATAAATTTTCTTTTATAATATACCTATAGTATTTATGTCATCGTAAAATTAATAGCAAGCAATTAAAAAAAAAAACCAGTTAGTAATAAGGAAACTTGAAATTCAAGTAAATAAGTTATTCCCGTTTATTGTTATCTGGTAGATGTAAAATATTTAATAAAAAATTGTAAACATCGACATAATCGTTAATATCTTATAACCCCCTGCACGGCACAAGACTTAAACAATGCAATCACAGAACGAACTCAATTCTGTTAATTTTTTACGTAACAATCGCATCTTTTTCAGATTATACCATCTAAGACGTAACCGATAAATTTTTTGCAGTAATAAAAAATACAAGTTTATGGCTTCATAGTTGTTTCAATCCTATTAACATTATAAATGTGAAAGTTTATTTTTTTGAATGTTTAGATGTTTGGATGTTTGGATATTTGTCCGTCAATCACGCCGAAACTACTGAACGGATTTTGATGATATTTGGTATACAGCATATAGGGTATTAGCTGACTTAGATAATAGGATACTTTTTATCCCACTGAACATTTCCCTAGGGTCCACGCGGGCTAAGCCGCTGGCGAAAGCCAGTATTCAATAAATATAAATTATACTGCTTCAATTTATTTAATATTCATACAACAAACAAAATTATTATGTGTAACACCCGGCGATCTTTTATATTCTTAAATTTAATTCAAAGCAGACTAACATATCCCTTGCATAATAAAATTAAAATTCTTCTACAACAGTATAGTTAATATTCAAATGCAAAACACTATTGTAAAAAGCAATTTATCATAAAAGCAAAAGTAACAAAACCGTATTCTCTTTGCAATATTTACAAAAAATAGCATTGCGTAATCTGCCAATCTTTTCGAAAGTGACTCGCGGTCGCTCTTACTTGATGCCGCCAGTAAAGATTCTCTTATGGACAGACACTAGTTATTGACGCTTCGCGAATTGAAATCCAAACGGCAATAACATTTGATTGATACCTATTACTTAGTGCGTTAAGATCAAAGTCCATCGTACCAACACTAAGGAACACCTGTCTGATAAATTGCGATATAATTCTCGATATTTGTTGGACTTTGTTTAGATAAGCGACACATTTAATAACGGACTTTGAACTTGCAAAATCTTAATAGAAATTTATTATTCGGAATCATATCAATTTACGTTAATCATGATTTGCTTTTAAAGTCCAAAATATAAATAAAGAAGCGCTTTCGTATCTTAGTTTATAATTACAATGCGTTTTCCATAAAGTAAAGCGGCAAGATAATCCTGATCAATTGATAGATAAGAAACAAGTTAAACTTTTTATTTAGATACATTAAAAAAATGTGGGTCATCAAAACAATAAAATATCCTTTTAAAGTGCAGCTTTGTGTACATATGAACATATTAACACTTTTATGTAACGCCAGCGTTATTCAAACATAAGTTGAACAACTGCACGATTAGCACGACTAAATATTATATGATATATTTTCAATGAACTAGCGAAAAGTAAATTATGTGCCACCTTAACATGATCACGTTGGCCTCGGCATACACAAAAAAAAAGTACTATCTACCCTTTTCAGGGTGAATCAGTGACGTTGGAACCGAGTGTCCGGGACACTCACACCCACATTAGAAACGGTACCCTAAAAAGCTATTAAGCAAGAATAAAATAAAGGCACCTAAACTACCGACGGCAACTAAAATATGTATAAGCATTGTATCAGATTCGATAATTGTGAATATATATTCCTTGTTTTCAAAAACAACCAATTCTCTAACTAAACGACATTATTTCTATTGTATTCTAACGAGTACAAATTGAGATTGTTTACATTGTTTTCATTACCATAAGACTGACTTCAACCTCTTCGACACATTCAATATTCAATGTCTTACTTCCGTTTCGAAAATTAACACGAACACATAATAAACCTAAAAAATCCTAATGAGTTATACCCATCCATAGGTGGAAATTGCAAATCCACTAAGAAATTCACAATTTACATAAGATTTACGAGTAATAACTTAAATATTTTTTTTCCACACATCTGTCTCTATACATTTCAGCATGGTTTCGTCTCGTTTTCATTTTTCTCTTTATTCATTACGATTCACAGCTTGAATTAACATAAAGGGTACTTTTAATCTCTCCAATTTTAAGTATAATTTTGAATAATAACCGGTGTTTGTTAATTTCAAAGACATCTCACCTGTGCACGCAGTAGTTCATGACGACGAACCAGCGCGCCGACGATGTGTACTCGGTGAACGAGTACCACGTGTACAGGAGTACCGTTATGTGGTGGTACCAGTGAAGGAAGATGAGGGGTTTCTTACGGAGCACTATGAACACAGTGTCACCGAGCTCCGGCAACTTGGACAACACAAACATGTACGTCCAGAAGCCGGCCACGCGATCCACTTCGATGAAACTGAAATAGACAGAAAACATGTTTCAAACTAAAGGTTAAACAAAAGGAAAGCGGTCTAATTGAATTTCAAAAACAAATATTCAACTAATTCATTGAGAAATAAGCATTAGAAAAACTATAACCGTTTTTTTATTATTTTTGTTACATACATCCTAAGTAGGGTTGCCACCTTTTTTGTCCCCAATTAAAGTACATTAGTTATTATAGGTATAGAAAAAAGTACATAGAATCAAAATAAAATATTATTTATTTTTCTTTATATTTAAACTTAAAAATACATTTTTTTATTTATTTATCGATTCAGCATGAATCGATCAATTTTGTTAAACGAAAAAATACTTACGACTAAGCTTCAAAATCACAAACAAATCAAATCATGCGAAATAAAGTATTTTCGTGTACTTTATTGTTCTCATAGAGCATAGAGTACAATTGTCTGCAATAACGTACAATACTTTATTATAAAGTACGGGTGGTAACCCTAATCCTAAGTAATCAATATGAATCATGACAATTGTATGATAATAACACTTCCAACATAAAGTAGATAAAACTGCAATTTAGAAAATTCTACTTGTTTACAGAATCACTATAATTGTATCATCACATGAAGAAAAATTCTATGCACGCAACTTAGGATAATTCAAAGTACAACTGAAAAAATCTCCGTAATTATATAAGATCAAAGAAAATATACCTGTACCTACTATTTTATGATGCGCAAGAGGATAAAACCTATGAACGCTACGTAGTATAACATAGATAGAATATAATAAAATCGTCAAGATATAACTTATATAAAATAGGCAAATATTTCCAATACCAAAATATAATTAACATTAAAAGGGTATTTAAAAATTATTTAGTACGCATAAAAATTAATGATAAAAATAATGACGTCCAGTACTTCAGTTGATTTGTGGTATTGTACCAAGAAATAACATACAAATGAGCTGTAATTAAAAATTAGAAAACTACCTATATAAAATATTTCTTAGTTTTTTACAGTCAAAAAATAATAAAGGATTTATAAAAAAAAACTCGATAGGAAAGAAACACATAGTTAGCACTGAAATTAGTTTTTTTATTTCACTTATTTATCGTCACTGTGTAGACGAGACCTATATGTAACAATTTCAATAATCGTAATGCATTGCGAGTAATTAATTAGAAATATTTTTTACGTGCATCTCTCCTTACAAATTAGACACAAAGACATGGCAACTTGATCTGTGACGTAATTGTTCAAACTGACAGCCGTATAACAGACGACTAAGAATGTCGATTCACTTTGAAAAAAATATCTTAGAATCGATTGAAATCAAACCGTATATGGTAATTTATAATATCTGGTATATCTGTAATTATGTAGGGTCATAATTCCAAAGGATGTTTTTCTTTTTAAAGCGTTTCACGTTTAACGTTTATCTCTTTTTTTTTGCATTATTTGTGGACAATTAATTCTATGAATTAATTGTCCACAAATAATGCAAAATTCTTTTAAATTCTTTTTTTTTAATTTTAATGACATCATGTTTTTCTGGTAACATTTGCAGTCGACTTAAGTTAAAAAACATAATTTTTAATTAGAAAAATTATTTAAATTTTGTAATTTATACATTAAATTAAGGCTTTTTAGATTCTGTATCATTAATTCTTTGTAAATACATGTAATATAAGTATATTCTTTTTCATCTAGAGTCAACCCGCGGATTAGGTATACCTCACATAGTGAAGACCGACACATCCCCTGCCAATCGTCAGGCGACATTGCGTTAGTAATTTTCCCTACTTTAAAAAAGTAAATGAAATCAACAAATTATAATGAAATCAACAACAATTATACACAGTAATATTGCAAAATACAGCTGGAATTTTATTGCAATACTACCATTGCCTCGAGTTTTTGTTATTATATAATGTTGTTTGATCAAAATGAGTTTAGCGACATTTTTCCGAGAAAATTACGTGTGACAGTGCGGGCTCGGCCTACTTTTTTTGCCATAGCAAAGACGCAAAAGCAGACACTTGTGTTAAAACCAGCTTGGTCTGACTTCGCCAGCGTATTACCCGGATAAATCTTATACTTATACTCTTTACTTCAAAAATCAACCATCTCTAGGTACTCTGAGATGATCAATCGTTAGAGCAGTCGCCCGGAATACAGAAAATATTTTACAGTATTGCTATTTTACATATTTTACAGTATAGTGAATGAAAAATTGGTAAAATATAATAAACTCTTATACACATTACAATTGCCAATCTTCGATTTTTTGGTATCCTAAGATGTCCTGGATAGTTTTATTAAACTTTCATTTAAAAAAACTATATAGTTATTTATTAAACTTTCATTTAACTATAGTATTACTGTGTCCTGTTATCTTATTGTATTGTCCTGGGTTTCTAACTTAAGGCCCTAGTTTGTAATTGACAACCTTAATATACAATCAGAATGAATATGATGTTACACAAATTCCTGCTTTCTGCGTTATAGAGATTGTGCTCGTTTGATATGTAAATGCAAGATATCTGATCAATGATACAAAAAAAAATGTTAATACATATTTTAGTAGTGTTCTATTCCGAAACTCTTATTTCGAATCAAAAGCACACGAAAAAAACATCTGATTAAAAAACAGAATTATTGTGAATGCTATTACGTAGCGTCTTGTCAAAAATTATAATTTATAAATCATGAATTTCAAGTTTATCTGTTTATTTATTGTATATTATTTACAACAGATTATATTTTCATTGTGATATTAATGAATACTGGTTATTTTTATGATAGATGATTATATTTATAAGGAGATTAATAAATATTATATATTTTATTACTGCTAATTTGTTATATTGTCTAATGTAGTAGGTGAGTACCAGTAGCTGGGGTTAAGTATAAAAAAAAAAATAACATAACCTCGGGGCCAAAAATTATGAAACAAAAGAAACTGCTCTTTGCCAATAGATTCATCATCATCATCGGCTTATTAATGTCCCGATTGCTACGGCACAGGTCTTCCCTATGGATGGAATCGTTACAATCCGAATAGGGACAACGGGCCTTGATCTACTATGCGGGTCCAGCGCGGATTAGCGAGTGTCGACTGCAGATACAACCGGCACGAATGTCTTAACGTGTCCTCCGAAGTAGGGGCCCGATACGTAACATTTGCGAAAACTACTTAAGCTCCGTATCGCAGATCGTACGCGCCAATCGAGCTACGTTTAAACGCTTACACGAAAACTTATGAGTCTATATTCGTCAAACTCGCACTTAGCTGCTTTTATAGGGATGTCGACTGGGTAAAAAAAATGCAATTCTATTTAGTCCGTCAGTCAGATAAATATTAGATACGTATTTTTTTTTACTTCAATTTAACGATAAATAGCTTAGATAACAGGCATTAAAGTTGACGAGTGGGGTCTCGCTACGTCACAGTTTTGTAGAAAACGTACCATAACGTGACGTCGTGCGAAATTTCAACTCCATGTGTCGCCGTAATTTTATGATTACGAAAGAAATAAAAAAATACGTGTTTAATATTTTTTAACACTCTACCTGACGGACAAACAAACAAAAATTAGTCATCATCCCGATTGATCAATTTTACATTCACAATGCTACACTGGGAAATAATCATACGAACCCTTCGCAAATCCCATCTCAGAAAGTCAGCGAGAAAGTGTTTTTTTAAGCGGTTTTGAAATTCTGTCACAAGTTACTAATTCTGTGACAGGTGTAGTGTGACGAACGCCAAGTGAGTGCACATCGATAGATATCCGTAGTAAGAAATAGAAAGTGAACGTTATGCAATTTGTAAAAATATGCGTCGTCTCGTCGCGCCACGCGCGGTGACGACACACACGCGTAATGGATTTAATTAACCCACTGGAACACATTTGGTGTTTAGAATAAAACAATCTTTACATATTATACAAGAAACAAATATAAAATTTCATGTGTCCTAGCTTCATTCCAATCGGAGCAGACGTATACACCATTGCAACCAGGATAATTTTTGTCTGCTCTGGATTAGTAGAGCATGCCTATTCCGCTAATGATATTTCAAGATATAATTTTATTTAAAAAAATGTATAATTTCTATTTTAATTATAATAACTTCATTATTAGTAGTTGTGTGTTGTTAACTGAATCAGCTATTTATCTATCTATCTATTTAAAAAATTTATATCTAAATTTTCACGATTTACAATAACATGTTCACAACAGATGATTTTTTTAAGTACTAACATTCATTCAAGAGTATATTGGATTAGTCAAAATTTCAAATTACGAAAGGTGAATAATAAAAAGAAATGATGTTGAATATCAAAGACAAAAAGTTTGCATGCGGAAACCTAGGACCAAATAAACGGTGGTACGGCACACCGTTACACACATAGGCACATACATTAACCAAATTACACTCTTTTTTTGGGCAGTCATGAAAGAAAATGTAGCTGGATCACCATGTAACTGATAATGATGATTTACTGCATATTACACTTCAAATTCAAAATAATGCGCAATTGTATTTAGTGAAAACCAATTCGAATGGAGCATCGACAAAATTTAATTCAATTCAAAATGTTATCTGTATTCCAAGTGGGCGGAACTAGAGGTGGTATTGAGGATTCGGTCGGATGACGTCAATGAGTAAATACCTAATACGATATTAAATTAAGATAATACTCAAAGTCAATAGAATTGCTTTTGTATGTCTGAATATTTATCGGACATATTAGTCAAGCCAAGATGGGTTACGGCAGAATTCCTAGTTGTGATAACGCTTGGGGGTCAAAATCGGTTTTAAAAGAGTCCTGTTCGACGGTGTCTAAAAATCGACCCATATAAATACAACTATTTCTTTTTTAATGACTTTGAAATGCTGTTTAAGTTCTGTGTCTATTCTTTTCAGTTTCTTAACCAACCACAAAAATTGGCAAGTGTTTTAATGAAGGAACATTTTAAGAAATGTACAGCCAGTTGCACCAAC